CTAAGAAGATCTAAGTATTCATTGAGCAAGGTGAAGACTTTCTTACCCATAAATGATGAGAAAGACAAGGTGTTTCTGGATCAACTAGCTTCTCCTTCTTCCTCAAGCTCCAAAGCACCCAAAATTCACTCAAAAATGGCTCACAAGCTCTCAAAATGGATTAGGGTTTCGAGAATTAGGGTTTGGACAATGGAGGCTGGAAATGAGGCTGAAAGGTGGAGATTAGGATGCTTAAATAGGGTGCAAGATCCCTGATTTAGGGTTTCCCAAACCCAGCGAGTTGGTCCCTTCAACTCGTCGAGTAGGTTTCCCAACCCGCGTCCCAAATCTATTCCTACTCGTCGAGTTCTCCTCCTGGAACTCGACTAGTTTCTCTCTTGATTTGGAGTTTTTCTTTCCTTAATTGGCCTTCTGGTTTTTCGAGTGTTACTATATATATATATATATATATATATATATATATATATATATATATATATATGTCATTGGTAAAGAATAACAAATAAAATCTCGTGTAACATCACTGGATTGAAGGCCACCACTAATAGTTAAAAATGATTAAATAAAATGAACACCGTTTTTACTCCTTACTGGATAAATGAATTTGAACAAAATTATATCTAACCATAATATAATGATTAGTAGTTAGTTGGCCATCAAATACTATGAAGCTAATTCAATGGATTAATTCATTCAAGATTTTCATTATCGAATAAAAGTTACAGTGACTTTAATTACCATGCGCTTGAAACCAAATTTTTAAAAACATGGAAATATCGTAATTAATAATTGAATACTGGAAAATTAATTTTATGGATTGATATCAAAGAAACCGTTATTTGGAAAATTAAGGTGAATTAATATGAATAAAAACTATATTTAGCGGGTACCCGTGAACCGAACCGTGGTTACCTGCCTTTATACAGTACGGTTCGCTTCGGTTTTTTCGTCAATTCGGTTTGGTTTCGGTTAGTGCATATGAGGTACCCGTCCTTTGTTAACGGTTCAAAATTTTATTTCTATCCGAATCGAATCACCCCGTTAACACCCCCTGCTACAAACTACTCACAAGTTACGAAATAGGACACAAATTATAAGTGGGCTTAATTATATGTGGGTTTTGGGCTCGCTTTAAGTTATTGGGCTATCATTCAATATTCAGTTTCCTCGGAAATGCGTAGGAATTTCCGAGGGATTTCCTAGTAAAATATATATTTTTTTATCTGAGGTTCAAATGTTACTTTTTTAGTTTTCTTTTTTGTACAACTTTGTTAGATATATAATATGATTAGCTTATCAAGTCATAAAACTAAAAAAAGTTTCTTTTTTTACAACTTTGTTAGATATAAAATATGTTTAGCTTATTAAGTTATACTTATTATTATCCACGTACTCACAAATACAAATATAGAATAAAAATGAATGTTATAAGTAAAAGATTAAGGTCCAAAATCATGTATATATGTATGATGATTTTATTGTAGTTAATGTTCAGTTTCCTCGGAAATGCGTATGAACTTCCGAGGGATTTCCTAGGAACATAATTTATTTTTTTCATTTTTCGAGGTTCAAACGTTATTTTTTTAGTTTCCTTTTATGTACAACTTTGTTATGCACAGAACACTTTTAGATTACCAAGTTGTACTTATATAAAATAGTTGGAAAAATAATAAATAATATTTAGTTTCTTCGGAAATGTGTAGCAACTTCCGAGGGATTTCCTAAGAACATAACTTCTTTTTTCATTTTTGGGGTTTAAATGATATTTTTTTTAGTTTCTTTTTTTACAACTTTGTTATACATAAAATACTTTTAGCTAACCAAGTTATACTCATTATCCACGTATACACAAAAATATAAATACAAAATAAAAAATGAATGTTTTAGTAATAGATTATGAAGGTGCAAACATATGTATATAAACGAGTTTTGGTCCTAGGAAATCCCTTGGAAAGACTTATGTATTTCGAAGGGATTAGTGACAAATTTTGTATTCTGTAGGAAATCCCTTGGTATTTCTTACGCATTTCCAAGCGATTTCCTAGGAACATAATCTGTTTTTCAATTTTTTTTTATGTTCAAACGTCGTTTTTTCATTATATATTTTGTTCAACTTCATTATACATGAATTATTTTTATTTCACAAGTTATACACGATATATACATACATACATACGTGTACACCATCAGAACTCATTACTCAAAACATTCGTTTACCATTATAAATCAATATTTATGTGTATGTGTATATAATTGTATAGCTTGGTAAGACAAAAGTATTTAATGTATAAAAAATCTGTCCAAAATATGAAAAAAAAAAAAAAACAACGTCTGAACCTCGAAAAAATAAAAAAACGAGTTTTGGTCATAGGAAATCCATTGGAAATACCTACGCAATTCCAATGGATTAGTGACAAATTCTATGTTGTCTAGGAAATCCCTTGGTATTTCCTAAATATTTCCAAGAGTTTTCCTAGGAAGATAACTCGTTTTTCATTTTTTGATGTTAAAACAACGTTTTTTCGTTCTATATTTTGTTCAACTTCATTATACATTAATTACTTTTATTTCACCAAGTTCTACACAATATATGCAAACATACATGCGCGTGCACCATCAGAACCCATTACTCAAAACATTATTTACCATTGTAAATCTATATGTATGTGTACATATGTATGGTTGTGTATATGTATAATACTTAACTTTGTAAGATAAAAGTATTTAATATGTAACAAAGTTGTACAAATATGGAACAAAAAAAATGCAACGTTTGAACTTCGATCAAACGAAAAAAAAATTGGGCCTAGGAAATCCCTCGGAATTACCTACACATTTCCAATGGATTAGTTACAGTTTTTTTTTATTTTTATTATTAGAATTATTTTTAGTATGTATGTATATGTGTATTAATAACAATGTTGTTAATAATAATAATAATAATAATAATAATAATAATATGAAAATAAAAATGATGATTATTTTGGTAAGAGACCTTGGTTTGAAAATTTCCTAGGAAATCCCTCGGAAGTTCTGAGAAACTTCCTAGAAAGCACTTAAACGAAACACTTATAACATAAATGTGAGGTTCTTTGGCATATTCGAAAAAATGATATGATTCGGTTATAATAATAAATTGGTAATAAAAAAACTATGTAAGAACGTTTAATACGTATTTTTATTTCCTAGGAAAATCGTAGGAACTTCTGAGGGACTTCCGAGCACGAGGAATTCCTCGGTATTTCCTAAATGTGTTAACTTTATAAGTTTTTTTTTGTGTATCAAATTAATCACTTGGACCCTAAGACAATTGGTAAAAGTTTGACATGTCTACTGAGAGACATTGGTTTGAAAATTCCATAGGAAATCTCTCGGAAGTTTTGAGAAACTTGCTAGGAACCACTTAAACGAAACAATTCTAATGTAGATGTGAGGCTCTTTGGCATATTAGAACAAAATGATATGACTTGTTTAAAATAATAAATTGGTAATAAAAAAACTACCGAGGAACTACCTAGGAACGTTAAATATATATTTATTTCCTAGGAAAAACATAGGAACTTCCGAGGGACTTCCTAGGACAAATAGCTCATCAGTATTTCGTATTTGCTACCGAGGATCTTCTAAGGAAATATCAGAGACGTTTTCCTCGGAAGTTCCTCGGTAATTTGTAGGAAGTAGCGAGAAATTTCTGGTCCTAGGAAATTTTTGTAGGAAACCCCACCTTTTTCTAGTAATGTAAGAATAAATGTACTATGTCTTTTATTGGATTTTGGATCGTGTTAAAACTTTATTTGTAAATTTATTTATTTAATTTTCAGCTTGAAGACATCCTATATTTACGTCTCCTTTTGGCACATGGTTGAAGGTTGAAGGAGCCACGGAACAATCATATAAGCAGATGAGTATAAATAGAATTCGGGGATCGTTGGTGGTAATAATGCTTTTCTTCAATGGATGTTTCATTGGTCGAAGATATGTTGGATTATATTTTATGAACCCGGTGAGAAGAAAGAAACAAAGCGTTAACATGACATTTAATTCTTAGTTGTCTATCAATTTATGCATACTACCTGTGTTCCACCTAAACCAAAAATATATGAGAAATTAATAATGCTACACTTGCTGAAACTTTGGTAGAAATAATGAATAAGACTGTGGGACCGTTTTTTTCAAGTGGATTTTTTTTAATATAAATCCAATAGTAACTAAAAAAAAGAACTGGAACATAGAAATGAAGCACTTAAAATAAAAAAAAGAACTGGAACATAGAAATGAAGCACTTAAAAAAAACTAAAGAGATGCTAACATGTGATACGACCGAACACTTCAATTTGAAGATATGAAGAAAATTTGGATGATCTAATTTGGATTGATTCAAGAACCGGGATTTATAGAACTTTACTCTTGATATTTTGCAATTTTTAAACTTCCATTTGGCCACAATATCTGCAACGACAAATAAGCAATAGCAATGACGCGCGTAACAGCGGAGCGACCCATTATGGCGGCATGTTGCCGCTAAAGGCAGTTGTGGCGACAAATGGGGTGTTTAGCAGCAATATTTGTCACCGATAAAGTCAGTTAAAGGCATATTTTGATGGAATGTTATTCCTTACTAAATACATATTTTCCAATCACCAACTAAACATGCATTTTCCCATTTTCTTGTTAATACCTTATTCCTTTCCCTTTGTGATTACAGCACACCAAAAAGGACGTTAATGAAACATTTTCAAACCAATGATGAAGACCATGGCCAGGCTGACACAGAACGGGAGTAAAGACGAAATATAATGTTGAAGAAATCCCAAAGGATGAAATTTTATTCAATTTCCAGATGAAAAATAAAGCTTACATAAAATAACTTTTTTACATAATGTGGAGCTAAATTTGATATGTAGTGCACAATTTCGGAAAAATAGAGATTAACAATAACGTTAAGAAAAAACAGGAATGAAGGAAATCACACAATCAAACCATTGGTCACATGCACCGACTTAGAAGGAGATATCCAAACCATCAAACTTCTCCTTGGTGATTTCATCCAAAATTTGGCTCATTTCATTTGTGAGATGGTTTGTCCAATCATCAACTTTCCCATTCCTAAAGAAAGCATCATTAGGCAAATCCGCAATCACCATCCCATGCTTATTAACCTCTTTCAAAGTTTCAAAACTGCATAACTTGACAATTTCATGCACGACACCCTCAACCTCTTCCTCCTGAGTAAAAGGATATCCCAAGAACTCTGCCAGACGCTTCACATTATTGACAGTATCCTTTTGCATGTCCTCGTATGTTAGAAATAGAATCTCTAACGGGCGTTCCAAAGCAGCCTTGTAGTACCCTTTCAAATGATCCCAACAAGGTCCGAATGGCATCATACCTTTTCTAAACATCTCAAACGCCTCCTCGAATGTCATTACACCAAGAGATTTGTCTCTCACCTTGTTTGTAAAATGAAACAAAGAAACCAAAACATCTTTTGGGCTTCTGCAAATATAAACTATGCGACAACCGCTATCAAGAATGGATTGAGGCAATGAAGTGTAAGGAATATGGGTAGCAAAGAGACGCGGTGAATGTCGATCAACATTAGTAGAAGGAGGGAAGTGTGAAGAGTCCATCCCAAGGAAAGGAACACATATATGGGGTTAAGACATTGTAGAGGATGATCAGTTGAAAGAGAGTTGGTTTTATTATACCTGGTGCGGTTTACTATCGCGAATGTAAGCGCCTTCAACCATGTTGTTCCAGATTTTGGTAGTGTGGCCAAGTATATATCAGTTGGAAGAGCTTGGAAACTATCCTGGGAGGCCATTACATCTACAGCTGAGATTACAGACCCTTCCTCAACCCAAAAGCCTTGATACAAGAACATGCTTTCCGATAACCAACCTTTCTCTTTTGGCAAAGTTGTCAAAGTATCCTTGTATTTATTGTAGAGGAAGCCACTTTCATTATCTGTTGAAAGAGGAATGATATCGGGGGTTGTAGGGACTGACATTTTAAGGATTGTCTCTGTGGAGTATTTGGTAATTTGAATTCTAGATCTATGTCTATATATAGACCAAATAGGGAACATTTTTACAACTTGAAGCTAACCAAATAGCAAATAGGTTACATTTTCCACATGGTTTCTACTTGAATAATATTACACTACATGTCCAACGATTTAAAGTCAAAATACCACATGGATCCATGTTTCAAGATTCTCTTCCATCTTGACTGAATTACAAATTTACTCCTTTATGGCCCTTTTTTCTTTAGGTCCAAAATAGAATTATTTTGAAATTTTATTCCAAAAGTAAAATAATCATTTAAAAAAAATCTTTCAGCCGACTAGTTAGATTTAAAGATACTGGAACCAATCAATTTATAAACTTCTCAAATGAGCACCGTAAATGCAAGCAAAGCCTCTTGTCCTTTTCGGACCTAAAAAAAACATTTAAATTACTAAAAACATTCAATGATTCGGTTTGGAAATTTCTAGCTTTTAGCTTAAACAAAAAGCTCGATTTAAACAAAAAACTCCGTTTAGGAATAAGAGCGTTTAACTTTTAGTTTAAACAAAAAACTTAAAATCTAAAAGCTATTTCATACATCGTTTAAGAAAAAAACTGTTGAGATTTATTAATTAATTTCCAAAATTAGCCTTAAACATATAGTATTTACTAGGTGAATTTCTGCTCATTGCACAGGTAAACTATTTTAAACAATATTATTCAATGACTTCTACCTGCTGCTTGCGCATAAATAAAATAAATATAATTCTCGATTTATTGTTATTTTTAACAATTATTATGAACAATTAATTTAAAATTTTACTTATGCAGCCATCTCTTAGTATTATCGTGATATTGATTTAAAATACAATTCATTTTTAGGTAACATTAGATAATTTAAAATTTGATGTTATCATTATTGATAATTATTGTTCATTGATTTTAAAATCACATTATTATTGATAAGTTAAAAAAAGAGTTTTTAAGAACCACTTATTATTATTATTAAAATGTTCAACATATACTAAATATAACGTGATAAGATACATGATTTGTTTTTAAAAGAGAATTGTATTAGAAATTGACATATCAATGACTTTTAGTTAATATATTTTTGAAGCAATACAAAACAAACAGTCATAATACATACTTAATTAAATATTATCTACATTACCTTATAAACATATGATCGATAACATGTATGATGTAATTACTTTAAAAATTCAATCATAACATACAACGATGTATTAAAAGAATAAAAACCAAGAAACAATAATTCTTCTTTTTATAACATTCAACAAGATCAAAAAAAAAGGAATAAAGAGGTATTTGTGTAAGATTGTTTTCAAGAGATTTGTAATGTGTCAATAAAATTTGTTGTGACAACCCGTTAATTTCAATCTTGAAGTCAAACTTGGGTCAACTAAAGTCAAACTTATTGTGTTGATTATTTATTTAAGTAGATTTATCTTATTATGTTTAGATTAAAAATCTCTATGTGTTTAAAAACCTTTTATTAGAAGTGTTACATAAATGGAAGTGAAGTGCTTAAATCCGAGAAGTCTCGCTAGAACCGAAAACTCTTGAGGGCTATAACTCCTAGACCGTAAATGTCCGAAGTCGCAAACCCTCGGTTCGCAACCGCAAAACGGTTTCCAGCCGGGAACCCTCGGTCTTATCCTCTCGGTTCACAAACCCATGCATGGGTCACGTCAAGCTTATCCTCCTTTATAAGCATGGAACCGAAAACACTTCCTCACTTCTACACCTTCTAACCGAAAACATACACTTTTCTCTCAAGATCATCAAACCGAGAACCCTTTTTCTCTCTCAACTATCATCCAAAAAGCCTTGAATCTCCTTCGGATCTTGCCAAGAACATAAGTGTTCTTCATTTCATCAAACTATCACCTTCCTTTTTGGTATCTTCACCGAAAACGCTTGGATCATCTTGGTTTCACCAAGAACACCAAGAAACACCAAGATCTTCAGGTGGTCGAAAATCCAAGGCTGGCCGAAAAAATGCTTTGCAGCCTCACGAAATCACTTCTAACACTCTTATTGTAAGTGAAACTTACAAATTACGCTATTCCTTAACATACTTGTCATTATATTCACTAATTGTATACATATATATTACGTGAAATGCTTTTAGGACTCGTTTTTGTCACGGGATTTAACTTGTGGAAATAACATCCTATATCGAACCTTCAATCGAATCACTCACATAAGGTGAGTTCATACCCCTACAATTTACCTTTTTCAATGTTTTTAGGGGGGGAATACAAGCAAAACACAATATTATTGTTTTAACACTTACATGTGAAAGCAAACAAACAAAAGAATTCTTATGCTTATAAATATTGTTAAAACCATTTTCAAACTCTTTTTAAAACTATTTTAGATTTCTGTTTATATCAAAATCATATTCATTTGTATATTTATGTATAATTAGGCTTTAACGGACTTAGGACTATTGCTAATACCTTAACTCCTGTTCCTTGTTTGGTTGTGGGCTTAGGGTAGGATCACTAGTCCGACTGTCGGCTAAATCATAATTATACATGCTAAATATATACATGAGTATTAAAACTCATTTCAAAAACATACTTAACTCATTTGTATATGCTGAGCAAATGGGTCTTTTCTCCAAATCATTTACAGTTCAAACAAACATACTAGTAAACTATAATAGGTATAGTTTAGAGAATCAATTCATACTAATTTCTAGATCAGAGAAACATTACATGAATCAATACATGCATACTATTACTTTTTATTGCAAAGTACACTACTCATTTACAAGAACAAGAAACATATACATACTATACGTAAACAAGTTAACTAGAATGTGAAATACCACTTCATGGTACTTAGCAACATTCTTGCTAAGTCATGTTTTATAACTAGAGTCTCCTGTAGGGAGCGCGTGAATTTGTGTATAGATCTATACGGGACTGACAATCCCGCACCTTGGCTGTTAGCTACAGTTGGGACCGGCAGGTCTACGGGTGACAAATGTCATATCTTTTTCGACGCCTGAAGAACGTCGTGTTTTATACTAGTCAATTAAGTATGGTTATAACCTCATTCACATTAAGCATTAACTAAACAATTCGGTTTACGAGACAAACATTTCTTCAGTGGTTTTATTTTAAACAAAACTACTAAAAGATATTATCTTCCATTATATACACATTGTTCACACATTAACAATGCATACTATTTTTATACTAAAGATAGTTTACAATATGGAAAACATACATTTATACTATTTCAAGTACAAACATACATTTTACACTATTTCAAGAGAACAAAACATACAAACAATTGGGTCTTGGGTAAAAGACTACTTTTCATTTTAAGTAGAAAATATAGGATTTTTTGGGAAATATACTAACATTTTCATGAAACAAATACAAACATTAGACACTAAATACTTATGAACTCACCAACTTAAATGTTGATACTCTCTTTCAAAATAACTTGTATTCTCAGGTAACCAGTAGACAGGTACACTAGCATAGGTTTTGGAGAAGGGGCATGTTCAAGACTCGTCTTTTATTTTGCTATATATTTTGGTGTCATACAAATATACAAAGAACACACATGTATTAACTATTATATTAATGCAATGGATGTTGTTGCTTGTTTTACTATTGTACATTGTTATGATACTATACATGACGTCCTCCACCCCCGAATGTTTCCGCCATCTCGGTTTCGGGTGTGTACAGATTGGTATCAGAGCATTGTTTATAGTGAACTAAGTATATCAACCCATAAAAGATATACAACTATAAATACAATGGGATTAAAACACTCTGACCAAGAGTTATACTTTTTAAATATAACAAATATTTTACTAAAGTATACATACATGCATACATACCAGAACAGTGTTATACTAGAACAGAACAAAAGTATTGTGAATGTTGAACATCACGAGTAGGCTTGGTGATATATAATCAGGTCCGAGATTGATATAGCTTGATCAACTATATCTATCCGGGAAGTGATTAGCATATGCCTAGGAATGGTTGTGGTGTTGCAACAAGTCTAAAAACTTACCAACTCTTACTACAAAGAAACGCTAGAACTTAACATAAACTTAAAATACTATAGGAGTATTTTGTGGTACTATAATTTACTTATGTGAAAACTAAAAAGACCCTTACTAGTAGGTCTATAGTTGCTGAGTGGATACGCTAAGGTTATATATGACTAAGATGCTATAGACTTAGAATCTGTGATCTTCGCTTTACTTCTGTTCCTTGTTTGGTTGTGGTCTTAGAGTTGGGTCACTTATTCGAAGGTCTATTCTATCTTAGTTATATATAGCTGGTATGCACTACGTAAGTATAGAAGTAACTGGTAAGGATCACCCTATAAATCTCTTTAGAATTACATCTATTATATGTCTCTTACACCCCTATTCTCGCTTAGATAACATGGTTGGATTTCATCTGCTGGGAGACCCGTACTTTTCCAATCAAGGGAACGGTGGATGGCTCGAAGCGGAATCAGAGGAAGATAACCCTATGGTCCCAGTAGAAGAAGAACCCGAGGAGAGTTCTGAGGAAGAGAACGAAGAGGAAGTTCAAGAAGACTCCGACTCAGAACCAAAGGTTTATAATCCACCTCAAGTTGCCCAAAATCCTAACCCTCGACAGGATTTTCAAGGCCCGACGCCTCTATGGGAAGTAAACTTGGGAATGTGGAGCCACGAACAGGGACAGCCCCCTCCTTATAATGGGGACCGAAGCTTCTACAACCTGATCGAAGGAGGATCAGCTGACAGAATCCTCCCTATCTTGGTTCGTCGTGTTGCTCGCAATGTTGGTACAGGGAAAGAAGCGGACCATCGACCAAGTCATGGAGATTATAGCTAACACGGGAGTCAACACAGTTCGCCTCCGCCACCTGGGCGAAGACCAGGAGTTAACAAGGACTCACACTGATGCACTACAGAGGGAACTGACTGCCAACCAATCTGAAGTTA